TTCCGCTCTTCCAGAGTGGCAGACACAAGAGAAAGCTCCCCAAAGAGAGAGACCAGCCAGGTCAGGCGAGAGATGCCACTGAAGGCAGGGAAGCCAAACCGCTCTTCTTCCAGGGGGCCAGCTGAGGGGAACCACAAAGGCCATAAGCATGGGGAAGAAGGAGCGGCGGAGGAAGAGCAGCCCCAGGTGCCATGGGGGAACAAGGCTGGGAGACCCTGCCTCACAGGGTCTGCATGGAAAGTGCTAGCATTGAGGATAATTCAGATGCCAAATGTACACTCTCACGGAGGTATCTCCCTTTCACTTGTTTTATTAAATTCAGTTTTGTTACTAAAATAAGGAATTCTCCTGGCAACTGCAGTCAATGCAGCAAAAATTTTAAAAAGTACCAGAATTTTAATATATTCTGTAGATTTATGTACACTTACAAAGTGTGATTGAAAAACGTGGTGTGTATTTAAATGAAAAATAATTCATTACAGTAAAAGGCTCATTGCCATTACTCCTTCTGACTTAGAACACACTTATCCCATCATTCTTGCCACTTTCTGAAGCCGTTCTGAAAGTCCTTTTTTGTAAATGTGTATAGTTGGGCTGTCCTGGCTGCCTTGATGTCCTGAATCAAGTCAAAACATTTCCCTCACACGGTTATTTGCACTTTAGGGGAAGAGCCAGAAGTCACACAGTGCCAGATTCAGTGACTAAAGCAGATGAGGACACACCATAATGCTTTTACTAGCCTGCCTTTCTGTTGGATGGTGCTTGGCAGCAGCATTCACAATATTTTTTGGTCATACTTCATAAAGACACTTACAAAGGAGAATTTCCAGAACTGCTTCAGAATGCGGTAAGAACTATGTGATAAATGTGTTCAAGGCAAGGAGGGGGATATTTGAGGGGGATATTTAAGGAAGATTGATGGCAATCTGTTTTTTATTGTAATAAGTTTTTAAACTGTTTCAATCACACCATGATAAGTACTCATATAATATACACATATACATACACACATATCCTTGCCAATACTGTTTTAAAGTTCCTCATAAACACAGAAGAACCAAGATATTTTTGCCCCTCAAACCTGATTTTTTTTTCTGGTACCAGGGATCGAATGCAGGACCTTGTGCTTGTGAGACAGGAGGAGCACCACTGAGCTAAATCAGCGGCCCTAAAGCTGATTTTTATATATGTTTGTATGTTAAACAGTAACAAGGTGAAGGCATCATGGTAGCTGGAAAGGTGAATAAAATTGTAATTCCTTTAAGTTAGTTCAATATCAGAAAATCAATCCAGTCTGAAGTGTTTTTTCAGTCTTCATAATCTTGGGTATAAAAAGGTACACCCAAATGAGTGTCCCTCAGAGAAATCTGGTCACATATTGCTCTCCTCTGCATCCAGCCCAAATCTTCCACATAACCACAATCTAAACAAATTTGCATTATACACCAAACACATGACTATGAAATTCACTCAAAACAATATCCATGTTCTATAGAAAAAAACTATAAATAAAATGAGTGAAATTACTAGGCTCTAAATATCAAACTTAAGAAACAAGCTCCTTCTTGAGGTGGTCATCATCTGCTCTAGTTCTCTGAACAGATATCTGCCACCAAAAGCTCAAGCCCCAGAATCACACTTCAACCAGGCTCTGTCACATGACTGCCATGTGACCTTGATGAAGCCACTCCCACTGTGAGCTTTGGTTTCACTGCCTATACCATGAGGGTGACAAATACCCACTTTACAGAACTGTCCTAGGAATTATCATTGATAATATATATCACATTCATACCACAGTTCTTTGTACCGATTAATAGTTATTGCTTATTTCTACAACTCTTCCATCATTTTCAAAGATGACTACTTCTTGAAATGAGGTTCTACTGTGTTGCCTACAAACTCATAAAGGGACAGTGACCACAAGAACAGAGGGCTCCAGGGGCCGGGGATTTAGCTCAGTGGTTTTGCTACCTGCTGCGCAAGTGCAAGGACCCGAGTTCGATCCCCGGTACCCCCAAAAAAGAACAGAGGGCTCCAGTATGCTCATTTCCTATTGCTAATGGAGCTGCTCAAGAATGACCACTATGAGGGGGCCGGGGATTTAGCTCAGTGGTTTCACTGCCTGCTGCACAAGCACAAGGACCCAAGTTTGATCCCCAGTACCAAAAAAAACCCCAGAAAAGAATGACCACCATGAAACAGCCAAATACACACTGCATTTAAAACCATGGTAGTAGGGCCGGGGATTTAGCTTAGTGGTTTCGCCGCCTGCTGTGCAAGCGCAAGGACCCGAGTTCGATCCCCAGTACCAAAAAAATAATAATAATAATTAAAAAAAAACAAACCATAGTAGTAGCTTCTGCCTTTGTAACTTGCCAGAGGAGGAAAGAGGCTGCATATGTTCTATTTGCTTTCGAGGAGAGGTATAGAAACGTCCTCCTCTCCAAGCACCCACCTCCCAGGCCTTTTAAAAGAGTTTTCACATAAAACCTGCTGTAGAAAAATAATCTCCAGGGCCGGGGATTTAGCTCAGTGGTTCTGCCTCCTGCCTCGAAAGTGTAAGGTCCTGAGTTCAATCCCCAGTCCAAAAAAAAAAAAAAGAAAAGAAAAGAAAAATAATCTCCAACTGTTAAGATGTTATGAGGGAAATTTCTACCTAATGGATTGGGACCAAAGCAAAAGATGCTTAAGCTCTAACACATTTTTTTACCTAGGATCCCACCAAGCAATTAAATCTCACTTAAAGAAAGAATAAAATACATATTTTCATTGCACATAGAAGCATGGAAAAAATAAATTTAATTGGGCCAGAGTCAGAAGGTCTCTAGCAAAAGCTCACATCCTGGAGAGATAAGAAAGAAGGTGATTTGTCTCCGACCTACCCTGTGACCTGAGATCCTGCACACAACTGACCTGTGAAGAGAAGGGATCCTTTCAGCAGCTCTTTTCCCACCACTTCTTTTTTCAGGAATGCAAATTCCTCCATCAAGAGTTCCACATGCTCCTCGTGCAAGACTTTTCCTGTCATGACAAAAATGGGATAAAGTACATCCTACCGGCAACGTCTGTCTTCCTCCAGCACAAGACACATAGCACTTATAATGCCATGGGCAGACACCAGAATGACACACTCCTGGTAAAGGTGGTCCTGGGTCTCTGATTACAACAGAAAGGAAAAATCTAACTAAGATAGTGCCAACCTGTCCCCAAAGGCAACAGGATATCAAGAGGTGCCCGAGGCAGTAGGGTGTTGAGTTGTGTTATGAACAGCAGGGGGCAGTGCAGGACAAAAACTAAGACATGCAAAGAAGAAAGGCGCCTGAAAATGACAGGACCTAACAGGATTCTTCATTCAAGGAATTGGCACAACCAGCTGATTATAAAATGACCCCCTCTCCTTCAAAGAGGAGAATGCCTTAACATTCAGAACTATAATCTTGGATTCTTTAAGGGAGCTGTAAAAATGTTTTGGCCTGGTGGCTTTTGCCTGTTTCAGTGTCTCCTTGTGCTCTTTCCTCTTGAGTCGGGAAGTTCCTCAGACTTTCCTTGCTTTTGAAAGTTCTGAGAATACTGGCCAGATATTTTGTAGAATATTCCTCATTTGTCTACCTCTTTCTCATCATTAAACTGGGGTTATGAGTTTGGAGGAAGGAAACTACAAAGGGCCATTCTTATCACATCCTATCAAGAGTAGGCAGTATTCACGCCTACTCTTCACCAAGTCATGATGATACTGGCCTCGATTATCTTCGGAGACAGTTTGTCTGCCCTCCCAGTGTAAAGTCACTGCTTTGCCCCCTTTCCTTGCTGTGCCTACTCTTTAAAAAGAAAGTCAGTATACATGAGGCATTCTCTTTTGAAGAAATTTAGCCTTTCATATTGCAGTGTTCAATATAACATTCCAGTTTGCTTGTTTGTTTTGATTTGATCATTTTGTTTTGTTTTGTTTGCTTTGCTTTCAGTCCTGGCAATCAAACCTACGACCTCATGCTTGTATTTTCTCTGTCACTGAGCTACTTCCTCAGCCCTTTAAAAAAAATTTTTTTTTAAATTTTCAGACAGGATCTTACTACATTGATCAGGTGGCCTTAAACTTGAGATCTTCCTGCCCTGCCTCCCACGTAGCCAAGATTACAGGCATGTGCCACAGGACTCAGCTGCTTGTTTTCTGTTTTGTTTTTCTATTATATAATTTAACTTATTCCTCTCTCATTGCATCTCTTTTGAAGTGAAAGTCTGGATTAAATTCAGGTAAGCAATGTGCAAGTATACCACAAAGGTAATGCTGTGCGTATCACACCAGTTGGCTGGTGATGTTGGATTGATTCATATAAGTAATCCTGTGGTTAAGATGCTGACAACAGAGCTCTTCATAATAAAAGTACATGTTCTTCTCCTTGCACTTAGCAGGCAACCTGCGGGGCATAGTTTGGCATCCTATTACTTTCTCCACAGACACACATAGGTGACCCAAAGCTCCCATCCCTCATTCATTTCTATATTTATCATCCATCCATTCTTCCCGCAAACATCTCCTGAGGGCCAGCTAAGTTGCAGGCAGTATTTAGCTGCTGGGGCTACACAGGAAGATGGGCTTGACCTTCAGGACTACAACCTAGTATTGGAGAAAAATAAGAGATTCAATGAAGTATGATTGGTCTCTCTCCGTGGTAGGCACAGCATGTTTTCTTTGGTGACTCTCATTATAATTATTCACCATGTTCTTTTTATGGATTTAACATCTCTAACAATAAATATTGCAACAAAAGAACTTGTGATTTAAACTTCATTTAATGATTTCTTTTAGTCCCTAAATATTCTAGTTGCCTTCACAGAGGGACTGATCCAATCACTGTAGAAATAAAAACCTCTGGGGCCAGGGATTTAGCTCAGTGGTTTCACTGCCTGATTTGCAAGCACAAGGACCTGAGTTCAATCCCAGGTACCAAAAAAACCCAAAAGAAATAAAAACCTCTGGAGGGCAGCCAGGCTTAGGGAACAAACAAGGACCCTGAGGTCTTAGCAGGACTGGATTCTAATTTCCACTTCCCACTTCATAGTCCCATTATTTGTATTGGATTCTAATTTCCACCTTGCATGTTGCAGTCGTGCTATATTAGTTGTGTGGCCTTGCATGAATTCTTTAACATCTTTAAGCCATGGTTCTCTACACATAAGCTACAGAAAATCCCTGCTGCTATATAGGCTTTGAATATGGCTTGTCCTCACCAACTATTGATGCCTGGTCCCCAAGTAGGAGTGTTGGGTATGGGGAGAGATCTGGGCCAATGAATGGATTAACTCCTTTTTCATATGAGTTTCAGCTCTCACAGGATGAGGTCAGCTCTGGTAAGAGTGTGCCCCTTCTCTCTTTGATTGTGGCAGCTTTTCTTCCCCCTCTTCTGCATGCATGGAGCAGCAAGAGACCCTCACCAAAAGTCACTGGGGAAGCCACCTGATCTTGGACTTCCGGCCTCCAGAACTGGGAGCTAAACAAACCTCTTTTCTTTATAAATTACCCAGGCTCAAGTGTTCTATTATAGCAACAGAAAATAGACTGGAATATCCACAGCCAAGGACTTTTAGAATAATTCAAAATACAAAGTGCGTAATAGAGTTTCCGAGTTTCTGACATATAGTAAACATTTAATAGTCATTCCTTTTGTGAAACAACAAAAACTATGTATGTCTATATAATACTCAGACAGATCTGGCATTTTTCTGTTAGCAATGTAAGTGTCATGTGTTGTGACCCTAGCACAGGCGGAAGTGAACCTTCATTAGAGCAGTAGAAGATAATAAGCCTTAGTCCAACATCTGCAAAGCCCCACCCATCCCTCTGCCCTCCACACGGCCCTCCCCGAGAGGTACAGCATGGGGCGGGAAGGAGTTAGGAGCCCAAAAGACCAGGTTAGCCAGGGTATTGTGTCGAAATGGGGTTAGGATGGAAAAGGCATAAAGAAGAAAGAAGAAATTCTGGAGCAGAAGCCCTTCAGCAGAGGGTCTACAGACAGACAGAGCACTGGCACCTTTCTGCTCCGCCAGGGCCCACAGCTCCTGAGCTGCCACCAGAGACAGCGTCATGGGGTACTCGACGAGGACGTGCTTGCCGGCGTCAAGGAACTGCCTTTGGGAAAAGAGAAAAACAGAGAAAGAAGGCTTCGAATGAGCTTCACTAAGATGCAAGACTCAGGACTCTGTCTGTGCAGGAGCACAATGGAGGCGGGACGTGGAGGAAGTTCCACCTCAAGTTATTCTGCACTCTCCTGTGACACAACAACGTTGTAGTTACATATTAATCTGAATATTCATTCAGCCATTTTTTTCAACTAAGTGCTATTTATCCCTATTCACCAGTTACTCTAGAAAAGAAAGACACATTAACAAATAAATTACTTGTTACTATGTTTAACAGCTATAAATAATGGCTACAGAACCAGAACCCATGGCAGTTAGGGCTGCCTGAAGCAATCTGACAAGATTTCGCTAATGACATGAGAATCGGGTCTCAAAGTATGGGTAGGAGTTTTCCAAGGGCAACTCTGAGCAGCAGGGGCAGGGGCTTGGGCGTTTTGTGGTGCTTTGTCAATTTGCAAATTTCTGTGTGGCAGGGGAATAGGCTACAGAGAAGGAGGCAAATGGGGTTGGAAGGGCAGCTGGACACCTGACTACAAAGGACCTAGAATGCTGTCAGGAGTCTGGGTTTATGCTCTTTAATAACAGCAGGGCTGGGGATTTAGCTCAGTGGTGCCATCGCCTGCCTCACAAGCGAAAGGTCTTGAGTTTGAGCCCAGGTACCAAAAGAAACCCCAAAAAACAATACCAGCATACAAGCATTTATCAGCAGCGAGTTACATGATTGCTATTTTAAAGAAATCTACTCTGGTGCAAGGAAAATGTCTATTCACTCTGGAGCTAGACTGACAAAGGATGGGGTCCCCTCTGGGCACAGCAGGGTGGTGGCACCTGTGGCCTGGTGTGAGAACCTGGAGGGGATGCTGCAACACAGGAAGCCAGCTTGCTCTTCCCTGCTGAAGTACCAGGTCCTGCTGGGGCTCCTCCTCCTGCACCGGAGCCCAGCAGATGCTTAAAGGGCTCTGGGCTTCACATTCACAAGGTGGGGAAAGGGCCACCACTTTTTCCTGCTGTTTTATAAACAGTGTCATTTCTCCTTTCCAGTGACACGACTATGTCCTTGCTCACCTACCTCGTGAAAAAACATTTCCTAGGAAAGGAAACTCTCAGAAACATTCCACAACATTGAAAGTGCAAAGATTAAATGTTAGGGCTCCAGATCCTAAGTTGTGTGATATGAAGGGGGTAGCTCTGTTCAAACTTCTCTGAGTTGAGTTTTTCACCAAAAAAAATCTAATTCTTAATGTTTCTAATGTTTCAAATTATAGCATACCAAATAAATATACTTTTCCCTACGGTTTTGCTTTTCCTAGATATTTGTAACTGTCAATAAGAATTTTTTTAATGTTTTGACAATTATTTTTATTTTAAATTTTTCAGCAGTGCTGGAGATCAAACCCAGGGCCTTGCACATGCTAGGCAAGTGCTCCACCATGGCACACTCCTCTCGGATAACAATTTTTAAAGGCCACAGCGTAATCATAATTTCCCCCTTGACTACCAAGATCCATTTGAGGGTCTGAGCTTTTGTGGTCATTTTCACCCATGCAAGGCAAAAACAGACACAGGAAAAACCTACCTGATGTGGCCCTCGTGACTGGTGCTTTCACTGCAGATGTAGGCAACTTCAACCTCCCGGGTGGAGAGAGCATCTTCCAAAGAAATCTGCTGAACGCCATCAATGTTCCCAAGCTCCCGTCTATTTCTCAGTAACAAAACAAAACAAAAGAATGCAAAAGTAGGTAGACAGGAAGGGGAAATAAAAATGATTAAGATAGAATGTGTATACGCGCCAATCCCCCAAGGCAAATGTGCTTAGTTTATGGCAAACATATATAGTAAAAAAGAAACTAATAAATTAATAAGCATCATCCTTCTCCCCACCTCCCAACAATGTCCCAGTGATCAGCTTTTGGAAATGAAGAAATGAATCTCTCTCCCGTTTCCAGGGTACTTTCCATTGTGGAGTGAGGAAAAAAGCCTCAGGGCTGAAGTCAAAGGATCTGGCATCAAGTGCCACTCACAGCACATAGGACCTGAGAGAGTCTTTGAGTGCCTCCTCCTCTAAAATAAGAACAATGTGCTTTTGTCTCATGAGAAGTGATTGCTATGTCACTTCCAGTTCCAAGTACTTGGTTCCACATTGTGACAAAGAAACCTAATCCAAATCCAATACATGGATACGTCTGGGCTCTAAACTGCCAGGCGACTTCACAGACTTCCAGGTTGAGGGACCATCAAGGGCAAGGTGAGGGTCCCTGCCTCCTGCATGGCTGAGCTAGCCTAGTCTGGCAAGGCACGCCTGCCACAGCTGTAGAAGAGCCAAAGCCTTGGCAGTTATACCATGCTGCAGTGCTGGGGCTGGAGGGCAGAGGTCACATTCAGTGGTCACAGCAGCCCGGGGTAGCAAGCAGGAGGCTCCAGCCAACAGCAGCCACAGTAGGCAAAGGACATTGGGGAAACATGGGTGGGAGACTCAGGAAAGGCAAGGAACACAGTTCATTTTGGCCAGTGATGGTGAACCTTTTAGAGCTTTCAATTATACAACCAGCCCGCTGCGGCACACGTGCCATAGGTTCGCCACCACTGGGTATCTGAACAGGCTTCCGGGGGAGGTGGTTGAACCTAGCAAGTCTGTCTTTGTATCAGGGATGCAGTCAGAGGAGATCTGGGAATTCCCTCTGTGTCCAGCTTGGCAGCCCACTGGCAGAAAACTGGGGCTCCAGGAGAAAGAAAAGGTCCCACCTTCGCCCTGAGGCCAAGTGTAGACCTCAGTCTCAGCTTCTGACAGGAGTGCAGGAGAGTTTGTTAGCTCATACAAACTGAGGTTTCCTGATCCTGTGCCCCCTTGGCATCTTCCAAGGAGAGGACTGGCCCCGAGCAGACTCCAGTCCTTTTGGGGCTTCCTCATGTCTCAAAGCCCACTTTCAATCCTTAAAATAGGGGCTGGGCCTCAGGACAGGCAGACTAAAAGAAAGTGGTCTTGGGAGTTACAATACGAAAAAACATCTGCATTGATCATCACAATGGCTACTTATGCTTTACAAAAATATTTATCTGCTGTCTCTCAAGCCCTAGAAAATAGCAATTTGCCTAAATTACTTACGTACATCTCCACACTCGCTCCAGCATGAGTTAGGACATAGCTCATAGTGAATATTGATAAATGATGTTACACTGTATTAGTCTGGAGAGTGGTGTGTGTGTGTGTGTGTGTACACATATGTGTAGGTGAGGGGAGATTTGAGTATGGAGCAGGGAAGAAGAAACGGTAATAAGTTTGGTTTTCTTCAAATTACATGAAATAAATGAATCCCTAAAGAAATGGGGGGCTCAGCTGGGGATGGTGGCCTATAATCCCAGCACTCTGGGAGGCTGAGGCAGGAGGATCACAAGTATGAGGCCAGTTTGGGCAGCTTAGCAACTTAGTGAGATCCTGTCTCAATATGAAAGAAAAAAAAGGCTAGGGATGTAACACAGTGGTGAGGGCCTGGCTAGGTTTAATTCCCAATGCCACATCATCATCATCATCATCATCAATGGGGTTCAAAATTACCAATGAGAAGAGAACACATAGTGTTTAAAAGTTGGGCTTTGGAATCAAGCAGACCTGCATTTAAATCTACCTATTTGATTCTTCCAGCTGTGTGATCTTAAACCAATGACTCAATCTTTCTGAGGCTCAGCCCCCTTATCTGTAAACTGGAGCTGATGCGGATCTTACAATGATGTAATGTATGTAAAGCCCAGGGCCACCACAAGGATGGCTGCTCTGGTGACAGATGTCATAGCACACACTGAAGACATCAGGCCCACCCAGCATGTATTGGCTGTGCCCCTCCAGGAAGGGACAGGCCCTGTCCTGCCTTCTCTGCTCTTCTCTGCAGCCCCCCAGCATCCTGTTTGCTGCCCCTCCCAGCTGCAGGCCCGGTGCGCTTTGGGCCCGAACCCATCTTGAGAGCTCATAGGCTGTCCCTGCCCCTCCCCCAGGTCAGGAAAATCTTCACACCCTAAGGCCTCATCTCTCACTGTGACTATGTTGAATGACGAGGCCCAGAGCAAAGGCAAGCACCTGGACACGAAGCCAATCAGGTTCAGGAGTGCCGAGGACTCATGTGGACTCCGCAAGTCCCTCATTCGCAGGGAGCCAGCTCTGCCAACACCGACCACCACCACGCCAAACTTCCTCTCAGGCTGAAACACAGGGCACCAAGGCAGGATTTGAGAACACTCCAGCCATCTCAGGGAAAACAGCAAACCAGAGGACCATCCAGGGTCCTGACGAGAGACAAAAGCAGCCAGCCCAGGACACACAAGAAGCCATCACGCACGCCAGGTGTGGAAGTGCTTGCCTGTCATCCCATCACTCTGGGAGACTGACCCAGAAGGACTGTAAGTTCAAGGCCAGCCTGGGCAAATGAGTGACTTAGCGAGACCCTATCTCAAAATAAAATATTTTAAAAACCTAAAAAGGGCCAGGGATATAGCTCAGTGTGAAGGCCAGGCTAGGTTCAAACTTGCCTGGGTTCAAACCTGCCTCAGCTTCCCAGAGTGCTGGGATTACAGGTGTGAGCCAGCACGTCTGACTCAAGTCCACTTTCTCAAGTTACACAGTAACTCAATACAATCCATACTGAGTTTTAAAATCATCTCTAATATAACCTACATTTCTTAACTCAGTTCTTGAATGTCTCTGAGTGTCAAACATCACTGTCACCTCAGCAGGCCCTTGTCCTTCACCTTTGAGGCCCCATTGTGACTACTCCCCACTCCTTCCGCCCCACGTTCCTTTACCCACTTCTCTAGTCTTGGTCCAAGATTTCTTCCAAATGTTTGTGGAATTTCTACATATTTTGCTATTATTTATTTCTTATGTAATTCCACTGTGGTCAAAGAACATTCTTCACATGGTCTGAATCCTTTTAAAGGTATTGAAGCGTGCTTTAGGATCCAGAATAGGGATATCTTGGTGCTACAATTTGGATCTGGAATGTTCTCACTGACCACGGACTGAAACTGAAATAACCCTTTTCTCTTTATGAGTTGATTTATCTCAGGTGTTGTTTACAGTAGTAAAAAGCTGATAGATACACTTGGTTGTATTCTGTGCATACTTGAAAAGAACATGAATCCTGCTGATGCTGGGTGGAGCCTTGTCCACGTCTGCTGGATCAAGTTGACTGATGGTGCTGTTAGGTTTTCCACATCCTTGCTGATTTGTTCTCTAATGGTTCTAACAATTACAGAGGAGAAGTGAAATCTATGAACATAATCATATTACAGATTTGTGTATTTCTTTTAGTTCTACAGTTCTGCACCCATGTATTCTGAAACTGTGATTAGGTACCTACTTGTTAGGATGGTTATGTCAACTCCTTCATCATTCTGAAATGACTATTTTTGTTCCTGGTAATACTTTTTGCCCTGCTTGTAATTTATGTTGTCTGTTATTAACAATTCACTTCCAGTTTCCACTAATTAGGATTAGCATGGTGCCTTATTTCTCATGCTTTTACTTTTAATTTATGGGTGGTTTTATATCTAAAGTGGGTATTTTACAGGCAGCATCTAGTTAGGTGTTACCTTTTGATTCACTCTAACAATCTCTGCCTTTTAGTTACAATATTTAGAGGACAATTAACACTGTGACTAATGATACGAGTTTCAATCCAAATCCAATCCAAATCTTCCTAATTTATCCAATCTGTTAGTTTCCTTTTCTGCCTTTTTAAATTAAGATGATTTCTTATCATTCCATTAGCAATAACTTTTTAGAGACAATTCTAAGGCTTTTTATTGGATATATTTTAATTATCACAGTCTACCTGAAAGCAATATTATGGCATTTCACATGTAATAGCCTTATGACAGTATATTTCCATTTTTCTCCCTCTTGAACTTTGTACCACTGCTACACAATTGGCTCTACATTTGCTATTAACCCCTTGAAATACCAGTTAGATTTCAGTCTGGAAAAGAGAAATCAGTTATATTTCACTTAACAGCAAAGGTCTGTTCTGAGAAATGCATTGTTAGGTGATTTTGGTATTGTGGGAACATAGCAGAAAGTACTTACACAAACCTAAATGGTATAGCCTATTACACACCTCACCTACACAGCATATATGCAGTTCTTCAATGAACAGAGTATCATTTTATGTGTCACACAACTGTATTGTAGGTGTAAAGAATTTCAACACCGGACTTAGAGGCTGTGAACCATTGCTAGGAACCATTGCGTCCTCTGGGGAGTCCACCTAGAGCAGCATCTCTGACCGTCTCTGGCAACACTGAAGTGTGTGCTTCTTCAGAGCCTGCCCAGAAGAAAGCAGTGCAGCCTCTCACCTTGCAGCTAAAAGGTGATTCCTGGTGACTGACTGTGGCTCCTGCTCAGCCACATGCTCTGGCCTTGACCCACACCCTCAGCTGAAAATGACACTGTGGGTAAAAGTCCCTCTCTTCCACCTCGACATCTCCCAGGAGATTCTAACTGGCTGCCTTCACACAGACACACAGACACACACAGACACACACAGACACACACACACACACACACACACACACACACACACACACACACACGAACACTGGGGGTTGTGATTCCAGACTTCTCTTCTGCAGGCAGGAAGGACACAGGAAGGGCCAGCCACAGTGACCCACGGACAACAAGCATTTTAACCCAGTTAGCCTCTTCCAGTCTTATGTTTTTAGTCTTTGTTTTCCGACAATCTCTTTACCAAACAGCAGTGAGATAGCCTCCCGAGAAATCTGGACAGCTCAAACACATATCCATGATCAAACATTATTTCTTTTTTGACAAAAGATGATAAGCATTCGATTATTAGACTATTATAATGTTACTATATTTCATCTGATTAGAATAAATATTTATGGTACTCCTAAGATTTCCTACCTTCCACATAACCAGCAGGCTAGTAAGTTTGCATTAGCTTCAAAAAAAAGCCATACAATTAAACAGCTTCACTATAAATAGCTAAACTGTTCTGTTTGTGTCATTAGTTAATGATAGACAAACGTGTGCACAAAACCTGGCTTGTGGATTGTGTCAGAGTGCATTATGAACTGCTTTAGGGTTTGGTTTAGATATTGTTCCCTTGCAAAACTGACACACAAGCCAGGCACAGTGGCACACACCTGTAATCCCAGCACTCTGAGAGGCTGAGGCAGGGAGATCATAAGTTCGAGTCCAGTCTGGGCATCTTAGTGAGATCATCTCTCAAAATAAAAACTAAAAATAAGGGTTGAAGTGTTTGTTGCTCAGTGCAAAAGCCTGGTTCACTCCTCAATTAAAAAAAAAAAAAGACACACCTAGATAAGATATTGGTGAGAACTGCTATTTTGAGGAAAACTAATTGCTAGAGCATCTTCATTTTATGTGAAGTCTCTTCAAGGCATGTTCTGAAAATGAAACTGCAAATGAAAGAAAGCAACTGCAAGTGAAATGGCTAGGGCTAGCGAGGAATAGCTTAGTGGCAGAGCACTTGCCCAGCTTGTTCAAGGCCTAGGGTTCAAGCCCCAGCACCATACCATCCCTCTGTCACAGCAGCTAACTCTCTGTGGGTAGGAACCAGAGGCACAGAAAGAAAGGAAGAAAGACAAGTGGGAGGGGAAAGTGCACACAGATTGGGAAGAGGCTGAAGTCTGCAGAGAATGCAGCCCGGAAGAAGTGCCCAGTAGAGGAGCACACAGTGGACTTCTAGGCCCCAGAGTGTCTAAAATCCAGCCATGCTCTCCCATCTTGAACACATAGTAAAATGCCACTCTAGTGGTAGTATTTTAAGAGATGAAGAACATGAGTGGTTTTGAGACAGCAGAAAAGGGACACACCTAAAGGACAGCAAAAACAAATTCAAGATCAAGGAATAATCACAAAGCAAACCTGCTTCCCTACCCCTGGACTCAGAGAAACTGGTTTTGGGTACTCCACACCTGAAAATGTAGTTTACAGAAAATCAGTATTAAGAGAATGTATTCTGCCAACTTAGAAAAAAGAAAAAGGTTTAAGGTGAAAGATATAGAAGAAAATGTAAAATCACTACAACAGAAGAACTTTATGTCCAAGGCATGAAGGTAGGTGCTGGACTACTGCTCTGAGAGAGAGAAAGTCAATTCCAAACAATCAAACAGATCAAGCTCATATTTTTCATCTACTATTTGCAAGGTCCAAAAAGTTTGACAATAGAATGGTTGGCAAGGGAAAGTAGAGATCTTCACATGCTGGAGAAGGAAGCAGACACAGTAAAGTAGTAAAGCTCAGATCCGAAATGTTCCCAAAGCCCAGGTGAACACACAGCTTGTTCAAGGGTTGCTTCTAGCCTGGGCACCACTGGGAGGTGTGGAACTTTGAAGAGTTGTAGTCTACTTGGGAAAAGTCAGGTCAGTGGGATATGCCCTTGAAGAGAATATGGGGACCCCAGTCCTGCTGCCCCCTTTTTACTTTGCTTCCTGGAAGCCATCAGTCAAACTATCCTGCTCTGTCACACAGTCCTGTCATGATGGACTGGGCCACTAAGGTCCAAAGCACAAAGGTTAAGTAAGCAACCATGCACTGAAACTTCTGAAACCATGAACCAAAATAAACCATTTCCTTTATTAAGTTGATGTCCTCAGTATTTTGTAACACCAACAGAAAGCTGACTATCACAGAGAGAAAAATAGGCAGCCTAGCCAGGTGTGATAATACATACCTATAATTCCAGCACTCTAGAAGACTGAGGCAGGAGAATCCTAAGTTTGGAGCTAGCCTGGACAACTTAGCAACTTAACAAGAACATGTTTCAAAATGAAAAATAAAAAAGAGCTGGGGATGTAGTTCAATTCCCAATACCAAGAACAAAAGAAGGAAAGGAGAAAGAAAAGGAAGGAGGGAAGAAAATAAAAGGAAAGTGGAAAAATAGGCAACTTAATTTATGGAGAACAATTTGGAAGTATTCAGCATAGATAACATGCAAATACCCTTCACTCTGTTAAATCCATCTGTAAGAATAGGTCCTACAGAGTTACACTAGTGAAATGACTTAACCTTTTGCAGCCTTACTTATAATAAACAAAAGATCAAATAATCTGTAAAGCAGGTGGGTGTATAGGTTATAGTACACTTGTAAAATGGACTAGTACACACCTGTAAACAATGAACATAAAAACTCCTTATGTATTGAAAACAAGTGCTCTCC